TCAGATCCTTATCAGTGCAGACACTACTTACTGTTTTCAGAGAATTAAAAGTAATTTCTTTTCCTACTCTTTCATTCATTGTGTCAAATGTTTTTATTAAGAACGTTAGGTGCTATATAGTTGTGAACATGTCCAAACACTCAACAGGTAAAAAAACCCACACAAAGTACTTCTAACCCATTTGAATAACTTCTGTCAAGCTTCAAAGTCTCTCTCTTGACCTCTTCCTAGTAAAAATGCTAGGCAAATAGATAAAATATGTAGTATGCCATAGAGGTCTCCATATTGATATATTTGACTAGTCATTTTATTGTTAGTTGGCCTTGCATGTGTATCACCTCCTTCCTAAGGAATGCAATTTGAGCTTAGCAAATCATTTTTACACAGTTTTTGGACATTTACACGTGGTTAAACCAATTCCGCTTTCCCCTAAAAGATGGGATACTGATAAGCATTTTAAGCATGTTAATGCCATTTTAATGCATTTTAATTTTACTTTCTAAGTTCTAGTCGTTTCAGTTGTAGAAATTTTAAAATAAATAAAAGAGACTATACAAATAAATGAGTCTTTCTGCCCTTAAATTCCTTCTTTCTTTCTGGAACTCAAAAACTGAAACGGATGATCATCTGATTGACCAATCAAATTATCACTCCACAATGTAAATGTTTAAGAAAGGCATTAGCCATAGAAGATAAGGGCTGGAATGGAAACAAATATGCATCCTTAAATATGCCCTGGCGCTCACTGCTACCATTGCCATTTTTACTATGCCTTCTGTTTTCTTGGGGGTTTTTTGTTACATAAGCACTTGTGCAATAGAGAAATTCTTTCAATGTGTTTGTTTCTAAAAATGATGCTGCCATATAAATGTGCAACTCACAATAGCACTCTAAATTAACATTCGCTTTAGGTGAAGTAGCATTACTTAAGATCTTGCTGTTTTCATTTTTGCCTATTTTTGTTGTGATTCACAGTACATTTATGAATATTTAGAACTTATAATTTATAATACATACATGCAAATTAAATTTCACGCTAGCTTTTTTTCTGTCTTTGTGGTTTTTAAAATCAGTTGATGATTCTTTATTTAGAATCTTATTTTTCCTCCTACCACGAGAACTATATAAAATAAGTTTAGAAGGATGGCTTAAGTACATATCTCTAAAGAAATGTCATTTATGCAGCTCATGTTTCACCGTATAAAAAGCATGAGCCTAAGGCACAGAGACCTAGTTTTGTACTGGTGTAGTTAATTATAAATCTTGTCAGCTGTAGCACCACTGTGATTTCTGACAGCAAAATGAGCCAACGTTGCTCTTGTACTTTGGATAATGTGTTTTGGTTATATAAAATGAGAATAAATTTAAAAAACTGAATAACTTTTTTAACCAAATGACACTTTGCATCTTTGCCTGGAAAGACTTCCATAGACTGCATCTAGGTAGATTAGAAACACATTGTAAATTAGTTTTTAAAAATCTATTTTTTGGCCCACGTTTACAATGGTAACACAAAGCCTTTCTGATGCTCCAGTTATCACTTTTTTGTTCATGTTGTTAAAATACATGAATTGTGACATCTTTAGTTACGTGAAGCACAGTTATAGTCTTAAACTACAGTTCAAAGAGCACCTATTTAATTCCAACACAAGAGTCCTCAAATTAACAGTGCTCATCACATCTGATTCAATGTTGTCCTAAGCCATATAATAAGTATAGGGGAAAAGATATGCCTTGCAGATTTCCATGGGATCTAGGAAACCAAAGTGGGAAGACAAATCCCAGGTCACTGCTGAAAGTATTCTGCCAGTAGCTATTTCCTAATCACTTGTATACCAAAAAGAAACCTCCAGCAGTGTCACATGACATGAAACAGAGAAAATACCTAATGATCCAAACAAGTAAAGGCTTCATACAGAAGATGAAAAAGAACCATAAATTCCACTCAGAAGTCAGTTGGCAGCCACTGGTGGTCATTGCTTATTTCAACACGCTTTTTTTCTGGCTCTCTCTTATTTAATGCTTAGTCTCACCATTGATAGTGCAGGTAAGTTACCTTGGCGACCTAACCACAGAGAAGCCATTCAGTTCTGTTATGTGATTCTTCACATGAATCCAATCTAATAGTTTCATTTCCCTCCTTCTGCGGTAGTCCAAGACTGAAGTGTTGAACAAAGATATAAAGTTCCCTTTGTACAGCAGAGGAAGCAGGCATCAGTTAAGGACTATATAAGCAGCGTAAGATTAGAAAAGACTGGGGAGGAGTTCTGGATAATGGGTTTCTGGAGTAGGAAGAGTTGCCTAAGTTACTTGTTTCATTGTATTTATTCACTAACTGTAAAATCACTAGGATGTTCACTTGTAACTAGTGACCTATACACCATAAGGCTTTCAAATATTTTTTTGATTCCTTGGTTATTTGGTATTTGGGTGCATCCTTTAACCTCTTATTTTGATGTTCTTGCAAACCCAAATACCTTTTGTTTTTCTTTTCGTGCTTTTTTTGTCTTGTGGTCATATCAGTCAGCAAGTCCATGATTCTGGCCCCTGTTTTGTCATTCTTATACCATTCTATGTCCTTTATTGCTTTTCCTGTGTTTTGTTCTTTAAATTTAAATTAATTAAATTTAATGCTATCTGTTTTATTTTAATCAGGTAGGGCATACTACTGTAGCTTGAATAGCTTATGGCAGAACACAAGGAACCATGCCATTTTAGGGCATTTTGAATTAATACTCAGTTTGAATAAATGAAAGAATGAAAGATTTCCCCTATGGAGGTTCAGAAAGCTTATTTATTATCAGTTTTGCAGATTCCTTTTGAAAGGAGCAAATATACTGTAAGTAGTGAATAAAGTATGCAGCCAGTATTAATAAATACCAAAATCAGAACTAAATTTCATGGAAGCATGCACTATTTATTTATTTTAGTACTGACAGAGATAGACCTGTTGGCAGCATTCCATATCTTTCACTTTCCTAATGGTTCACTTTATGTGGCATAAACCTGGGAAGTTTGAAAGTTTTGGGTAACACTGACACGGTACATTCAGAGAACATTAATCATAGGCCTCATACACATGTTCTGATGTTGTGAGAGAATTCTCTTGGGTTTGTTTTCCTGATAGAAAAAACTTACCTGTAGATCCTGAACAGACATTAAAATGATGAATCCCTGAGGGTTATTTTTCCTTGTTATAACCCTTGTTCTTGAGTTGTTTCTCTCCTGGTATGGCCATTTTTGTTCTGGGAGAAAAATCCTGAATAGCTGCACACTCGTAGTTTCTCCTGGGAAAACAACAACTCCCAGGGCTTGCAATGGTTTGCCAAGGAATGTAATGTTCTGTGTTACAGACATCCATTGAAATCAATTCAAAGCAACAATGATTTTAGGGTCATTTAAAACTAATACCTTTTTTATTATTTACTGTCTCTCACAGCAGTAGAACTTGGGGAGCTAAAATGAAATGAGTAGGTATGGTTTAAAGCTAACAAAAGACATTTCTTTTCACATGGCATGTAATTGACTTATGGAACTCATTGCCATTAGACATTGTGGAAACCGATGGTTTAATCCAGTTCAAATGGGAATTGGATAACTTTGTGGAGAAAAGGTCCATGAGATAGCAATGAGCATGATAAATAGGGGTACAGCCTCTGAATCAGGATTTCTTAAACCTGCGAATCCTGGGAAGCTGCAATGGGAGAAGAGCAGAGGGTGGTAAATTCTGGACGTGCCCTATTTATCCCCACCCACCATAAGCATCTGTGCTCTGCCATTGTGAGACAGGAAACTGGACTAAATGAACCTAGTAAGTGGTAGTTCCTATGTAAAACTAAAATAGTTTGCACAATTAAAAATACACTTAGACAAAGTTATTTTACTTCTCTGGCAGAGAGAGAAAAAACAAGAACAACAAAACCAACCCTTTTTCACCTTTCTGATCCCATCACTTTCTCAATACTCAGGGAAAATGTTCTTCTATGTTTGTTTAGAAAAAAAAAGATTTAATTTAACCTTGAAAGGTTATTATATATACAAAGAAGAATCCACAGAAATTGTAAAGGAGCTATGCCTGACAGTTCTTGTTTGTATTCTGCTTGGAATGTTTTGTTTATAAGAAAAGGGAGAGATTAGAGCATAATTAATGAACGACTCTATACATTGTTGTCCACTGTGCTAATATAAACACTTATATTGCTCACACTATGTGCTTGTTATTATCTGGAAGTGATGTTTAGAATTAGTTCAGCATGTTGACTGACATTTTGGGTATCATTAACCTACCTAGGAAACTATACAGGCAGTCCTTGGACTTACGACACAATTGGATCCTGAAAACCGCATCTTAAATCAAAACGTTGTAACTCAGAACAGATTCTCTCATAAGAAGCAATGTTATAAATGGGGGATTGGTTCCTGAACCAAGCCCTAATACCCTCTTTTCACCAAAAATACCCCAGAATGTTGTACTCAATCAATTATAGATGAGAAATATAGCTACATTAATGTATTTATATTGTTAAAAGCAGTCATTGATTTGGAAGGACTCCTTTGAGATGACTTTGCTGGACTTTTTGAAAGGCTCTTGGTTGGACTTTTTGAAGGGTTCTTGGATGGAGTCGTCTCAGGAGTCTTGGTGTCAGGTTTTTCTGGAGTCCGGTCTGCTTTCTTAAAGAAAGTGTCCAAGGAAGTTTGGACAGATGTTCTCCAGGGAGACGAGTGATGCAGCGAACTCGTTCACTGGTGTAGCATCACATTGGATCAAGCATTGTAAAGTTGAAACTGATGTCATAAAGTTGAAACAGTGTGTCAATTTATAAATGTCGTGAAGTGCGAAACATTGTAATTTGAAATGTTATAAGTCAAGGACTGCCTGTATTTCATTCTCACTATAATTTTGATAAACTGCATATATCCTGCTCTCTCTATTTTCTCTTTGGCTACAAATTTTACAGAAAATCCATTTGCCTTACTCATATGTATCTGTTTTCTTTAAGTGCCTTGCTTCATGGGAGTCCTTCTTGACATCTCAAACAGTGGATCTTCACCTGGAAGAAGATTCTGAAGATAGGCCTTGAATATATCTTTGCTTGACCTTCCCTTTTAGTGCAGTTTCTGCCGACCAAAGAAGTGCTCCTTATATGAGATCAGATACATTATTAAATATAACTATTAAGATTTAGTGACATCTGGAAAACCAGCCTTTTGAAAACTCAGGTATTCTAGAGTCCTGATCTACCTTTTGGATCATGCTATATATTACTATATATTGCTCAGTTATTATTTTACACATTTCTTATGCAAGTGTTTGCATATAATTGTTTTCTTAAATATTCTGTAATTTGAATATGAAATATTTTAAATATGTAATAATAGCTGCATTTTAATAAAAAAGTTTAATAATAAACGTCTGTTTTAGTCATCTTCCCTAATCGTGAAAAATAAATCTGCATTTTCATTTGCTTGCATTCTTTTTATAAAATGACAGAAAATATATAGGTAGTTGATCAAGAATTTTTTACTGGGTTATGTCAGTGGTGAAAGTAGTTTTTTGAGGGGTGTAACAGGGTCCTACCCCAGGGGTGACCATAATGCCCCTAGAGTATCCTCTGAACCCTTGTCCTCTCCTCTTCCTTTGGGCAATCTTGTCTTCTATTTGTCTACCACACCTTGATGAAGTGGTACTTTCAGGAATGGGAGGCTGCCCCAGGGCTCCTGAAACAAGGTCTCACTCATGAGCGCTAATGTTGCTGCTCATTCCCTTAAGGGGTAATCATGGTCTCTGAACCTCCTTTCCCCTACAGCTGAGCCATGCTTTGCAGGTGTTTTCAGTCATCACTTAAGTGGGCACGTTGGCCCACACCACCACCAGGCCATCTTAGGTCTCCACTCCCTTGTTGGGGCCTTGGCCTTCCCAGCTTCTGCCCCCACTGCTCTGACTGATCCCTTTGGCCTAGACTCACTACACCGAGTCTTGCTCCTTGGGCTTCAGCCCTTCTCTTGCCCACCTGGGCTCTTATTTCTGCCCTTCCTGGACTGTGGATCCTCTGGCCCCAATCCCTGCCCCTTTTTGGACTGTGGGCTCTTTGGCCCTGTTTCTGCCCCTCTTGGTCTCGTGGGCCCTCTGTGCCCAATGTCCTCCCCTTTCAGGGTTGGGCTCTCTAGCCCCGTTACTGCCTCTCTTGGGCTTGTGCCCTCTGGCCCCAATCTCCACCCTTTTCTGAGCTGTGAGCTCTCTAGCCCTGCTCCTGCCCCTCTCAGGCTGTGGGCTCCTGGCCCTAGTCTGCCTCTCCTGGGTTGTAGGTTCACTGGCCCTAGTTCTCACCCCTCTAGGCTGTGGGCTCTCTAGCCCTGTTTCTGCCCCTCTCAGGCAACTCTGGGCTTTCTGGTCCTTATTCAAACTAAAAACATAAGTCCTCTGGCTATAAGTAAACTCTTAGCTCTCTGACCACATAACTCAGTTCTCTAAGCTTGCCGACTCTCTAAGTCAATTGCCATCCATACTTTTTCATCTCTGCCAGCCCTCTGCCCTCAAAGTGTGGCTCTCCAGCATAGCAGGTTCACAGTCCATCATTGGGAGGCAGCTTCCAGGGCCAGACTGTTTGGTCTGACTCTGGCCTGGTCCTATATGCCCCAGGGCCCTTCCGCTTTCGGTCATGGCCTGACAGGCCATGCAGGTGCTCTCTAATGTGCTTGGCTCAACAGCCTTCAGGATGACCTACAGCAGCAAAGCTAGCACTGCAGCAATTCCTTTGCTGCTGTTTCTCCAGGTTACTTCCTTTTTATACTAATACTGTGCTACTAGTGCAGCAATAGGAACTTCTTAGTTGAAAGGCTCTGGCTGGCTATCGCTCTGTAGCTAGCACTGCCTGGGTGCAGTTTGCCTCTATTTTACCTCTCTCAGTAACAAAAACTGTAAGTTCCTTATTACAAGGGAAAAATAATTTCAATGACATGGAAGTAAATGGAAAGTGAGATAATCTGGAAAGTGTTATCCAAGATATATTTCCTGTTTAAGGAAATACAGCAGATTTAATCCGTCCAGACTTCAGGAAAGCATCTGGTACAGTGTCATGGAGCATGTTTATGAAAGAGATTAAATGGTTGCCAGTGACTACAGGGGTCTGGTCTCTACTATATAGTCCTAAATCCAAAATTAAGGTGTGGCTAAATTATCAAAATCTAGACAATTAACAAGAGACTTACCTCAAAGCAGCTGACCGATGGCAACAGTCAATGAGCCTGCTCTTATCCACTGGTAAGTGAAAGCTAAACCAGGATATCTTTGTCTATTTCCTTCAGGTTTGTCCATACCCTTAGTTATCCCACACCAGGTGAATTCAAATTGCCCAAAGCATGTATGGGACTATCTTGATTTTATATTCTAGGTAACCCTTATAGTATCTAGAGAGACAGTATTCTATAAATAGGTTGTAAAAGAGATACAAGGATTTCTTAGGGTGATATATTTTACTGGACCAACTACATAGTTGGGATGGAGTTAGACAAGCTTTAGAATACAAGACATTTTTCATCAGGTTTGAGCAGTTAGAGCCAACAGCTGTGTTTTGAAATATTTCCTGAAGTACCCCCAAAACTTGGCAAGATAGGACAAGAAATATTCCTTGACAAAGTGTGGTAGTTTGGCTTTTATGCTGCCATCGGTGGAAGAGGGGCAGTTCATATCTAAGCATACTTAATGCTTAGAAAGTTAAGCAGATGCTGAACCTGCTCTGTGAAGTTATTACAGTTAAGGAACTCGGATCCAATTTCCTAATGTAACAATTGAGGCTGCAAAAGTTGTTTAACAATGTTATTTGGGATCTTCTTCCAGTATTTACATATATATTAAAAGCCTTTCCCTGGCCCTTTGTTCTCTTACAAGCTTAAAAATGTAATACAAAATGAAAAACCTTAATGGTATATGCAATGAGCCATCATTCAGTACTATACTACTTGCCAAAACCCTATTGCTGTGAATACAATGAACTCAATGCAACCTCTCATGTATATGCTTTAGACCCATAGTAACATTTAACTGCATGTTTGACTGCAGCATGTATAGAAGATTAATAAATAGCAGGTTCTAGTGACCTGGTAAACAGTGGGTACTATAAGCAAGGCCTCATGCTGGAGATTACTCTGCAGCTGACGCTTTTTTTCAAACCGGGGACTTCCAGATTAGATGCATCTGATTATGACTGTTGCTATAACATATAGTGAGAGAGGTGGAGTTAGGGAGCCTGTTATCAGACGATGTACAGCTTTAAGACCTAGGAACTTAACTGCAAAGCACTGATTTTTTTCTAGAAGTTTAAGGAGCCACAAGAAACATCAATAAATAGGCAGCTGTATTCTTTAGCAGCTGTCATTTTAAATAGTACTCAAGTTGCCTCCCATATGAAGCAGAGCACATTTAGTTATTCCTAAACAAGAGCCTAAGCACATTGATCAATGTCTTTTTAAAAAAGGGTGAAACAATAGGATTTTCATGAGCTTTGTCACAGGCTCGAAAGCGAAGAAAGTGCTTATTGACCATACACACACAGGATTCTGAACGTAGGTAATATCAGCGCTCAATATAACAATCAGGGCGGAGCTGAAGAAACACAGCTGTAACAAGGGCAAGTTGCTATATAACACTGCTGAAAGACTGGAAGGAAGTGAACGTGTAAGTAAAAAACAAATACATTTTAGTAATAAATTCAAAAGAGAAAAAGGTAATTATTTTTGGTTTCTAGTTGCCAAACAGAGAGGTTAAGCTCTGAACCTTGAATTTATCTGCAGCAATGGATTTTGCAAGTACTGAACACTTATGTACAGAATCATTGGCCATCTCATAATACACCCAAATATACAAGTAGTCTAAAATAGGAACTTGAAAATCAGTTCTTACAATGCAACTGTACAAAAGCATGCAGATGTAAGTGTGGACAAATGACTCCAACTTTGACTTTCTTAGGTCCTCAGGACACTCTATGCCTGAAAGCTTGTCTAACATCTCTTCCAAGCACACAGTTGGTTTAATAAGAGATATCACCCCCCAAAAAACTTGCTTCTTCACAATGAAGTCAGGATGCTAGCAGCTATGTATCAAGAAAGTAAGATTTAGCATATGTGGACTTTAGTATATAGTTTGCATAATTTACTTCTTCCTTTATTCATACCTAATCAAGCTATAGATTGTGAAAGAGGGGAAAAAAACCTCCCAGATAATAAGTGGATAAAGACCCTTCATACTAAGAGATTTACCTGTTCTAGAATATTCTTCATAGTTTACAACAGATCTATGATTTATTAGTATTACTACATTAGTATTATTGTAAGGTAGAAATAAGATCTTTTTATAAAAAAATATCACTACCACTGTTGTATTTTATAACTTTTATACTTTGCAAATATTTTTGAAAGTCTCTTGACTGACTTTTCACACAATGTATAGGGCATTTAAGTCTAATTCTGGAGATTCTTCTTTCGCTTCGTTCTTTTTAGCTGAAAGTTTACAAAATATTTCAGTTCCTCTAAATCTATTAATTTATCTTTGTTGAATTTTCCTTGCTGTCTTTAAATAGATTTTTCTTGGCCAACAGTTTACAATAGTTGGAGGAATAAGACCAATTAAGAATTCAGACTTAAGGGCTAAGTACAGACAGTCAGAAAGCCTGAGGCAGAATCAATCCTACCTTTGTGGGCTTCTCTAAACTGTGAAGATTGGATCATGAGCAAACATAACACACTTTGCCTTTGTGGGTGGGGAATTAAGCAAATGCCTGCACTGGCCAGGCCAGAAGGTGGGCAGGGGGTGCTACTGCACACCTCCCAGCCTGGCAGCAGAGCTCAGCTAAGCAGAGCCATCCCTGATTGGCTGTCAGGCACATGACCCCAATCCTCTGCTATCACTACAGACCCCACCCTGCACCAAGCCCTAGGCTTCCAGAGCTGGTAGCCATGGTGGCCCCACTGGGAGGCAGGGGCAGGGGTGGGAACAGAGCCCCCACCCTGGTCACAGCCCACCCAGCTGAAGTCTGTACAGTGTAGGGGAGGCCCACAGCTGGGACTTTATCCCTCATCCTGGTTGAGAAATTGCCCTGGCTTTCCTTCCAACAGCCTGTCTGTGCAAGCATCCCAGTCCTGCCCCTGCACCAGACCCAGCCTCTCAGCCATGGGGGGCAGAGGAGGTAACTGAGATAACCACAGTCTGGCAACCCTGCCTTAGGAACCCTCTGTACTGTATACAGACCCCAGCTGGGAGGGTGGGGGGCATGGCTGGGGCAGGCGGCTCTGTCCTCACTTCCCTGCCCTTTTGTTGAGTCCAGCATGAGGGTGGGGCTGTGGCAATCACTCAACCAGGCTGCAGAAAGGAATGCTGGTCTGCAGGGGAGGAAGTCCCTGCTGTGGGCTC